GTGCAAGATTAAAGTGAGTACACAGTGATAAACAATCTCATACCTTCAAGGATGGAACATAAAAATGGTTTATCTTGTCTAGGATAGGAACCACCAGTTGATGATTAGGAACAGAGGATAAGGGCGAAGAAAGTATAAAGTGATCTGATATACACTGAGAGGGATAGACAGATAATGTCATACAGTCTGGTAGAGACATCAAGCTACTGAAAATGAACAGTAAAAAGACTACTGGCTTTCTATTGATTCACTAATTAATAATTTATTCCATAACTTTCCAGGGTCTAAAATAAAGTTGTTCATAAATCCCCACACATTTCATTCGTAAAGATCAGAACAGTGTTTGCCTTCCTCAAGCCTCCAAGGATCTCCTATATTCTACATGAGAGTTGTTGAATATAATTATATATAATTCCGAGTAGAACTGGGAACACTAGTAAATACTAGCAAAATAGCGAGTATTTTGTGCTCTATGTTCAGTCATGTACCCATTTCCATCATTCATATAATTTCTTAAGTTTTTTAAGCTCTTGAAGATGTTTTGATATAGACCTTCATTATGCTTCTTATCCATCTTATTCTTCCCTGAATAACCTGTTACTGTGCATCGAAAAGCATCTTCTTCACTAAATGCTAGGTCTCTTACATTGTCTTGTCTCTCAAATTTTCTTTACAGGTTCAGGTTTCTGGAATTAGTTGAAAGCAGTGTCTGGGTTTCAGTAACACAGAGGTTGTTGTTACCTGTTTTTTTCACATCTCTTGCCTTCATTCTGTTTTTCTCATTCTATTCCTTGCAAAAGCCAAAAACCGTTTTTTTTTCATGGTCATTTTCATCAATTTTTCCTTCTTTTATAAACTCAGGCAACTTATCTCTGTTAATCAGAAACAGAACTAAAACCAAGACAGCAAGTCCTTAATACCCTTCTCCACTTTCTGAAAGAAAATGTTGTTCTTAACGTGTTCCAAGAACTCAAAGGATTCTGTGTTCTGTTGTTCAGGTTTTGATTTGGGTTTTTTTTCAGTTGGTATCCAAGAAATTGAGCTTTCTCATATTTACCCGTTCATGTCTTTAGTACAACTACATTGGTCATTCTAAAAAAAAGCGTCATTTGCCTCTGTCTCCTATTCCCGATCAAGTAGTCTATCATACAACCCCATTATAACCTCACCAATGTTTTTCCCTTCTATTTCTACCCAGACATTATGAACTTATGAACTAACTTAGTATCAAACAATGACTCTTCATATAAAAGCAACGTTTTATTTTTCCCCAGGGTTCTCTACCTGAAAAAGAGTTACTTACATAGACTGGTTTTCGTACCCCAGGTGGATACATATATGGATAACTTTCCTCCTTGTCCCACTATGATAGAGTTCCTCCTAAAACTCCTACAGTTTTCAACTCTCGCTCATTGTAGAAGGCTAAGGAGTCATATAGTGAAGTCTATCTTAAAATTGGAAAGGCATCTTCAGGCCAGACTCCATCCATATCTGACAAGCTCTCCACTTACTAAACACACACATTTGGAATGGAATAGTGGCACCCAGTATCAGCTGCGAACGCATGACATGCTGGCAGCATGGCTTACACATATCTCTTAATTTCAAGAGAGAAGTTTGTCTCTTCAAATTTCATCTACTATGGCTTAGCTTCTTTCATTTGTATTTCTTGCGGTTTATCATTTCATACACACGTACACGCATGCATGTACACACACGTACACAATTTTTTACCATAACAAATTTTTAACAGTACCAGACCCAGACACCTCAGAAAACAATTCTGAAAACATGCTTGCTGGCAGAAGGGTATTCTAAGGGTGAGATAAAGTTGTCACTAGAATTTGAAATACTATTTTGCTGTGTATATATACAAATATGTGTATTGTACATAATTACATAATGAATTAAAGAATTTATTATTTTCAATACTGTAACTTTATAATGATAATTAGCTACAACTAGTAACTATGACTTTATTACTAACACTTATAGCAAAACTGTAGCATTATTTTCAATATTGGAACTATAAAATTACAGCAGATATTTTATTTTTGGTGGATCTGGTCTTTAAGCTTTCCAGAAATAAAAGGCACAGCATTTTCTGTTTGGAAACATCTGTTTCAAACACATCAAAATAATGAACTTTTTGGTCAAGGTGTCTGCTTCACCCAATTGCCTGGGAACCAGAAGTACTGAGCTTCCACACTGGACACCTAGCAGATTTCTGTCTATTGACAGCAACATTATCTGGAAAACCACATTAAAGTATTCCGAAAGACAAAGTGTTGAAATTCTAATAAACCACGGAATGTCACAACCTCCTCATTCCAAACATATACAGTGTAAATAGTAATTTAAAATTATGGGACAGTAATTTTGTTTTAATTATTTTGTATATTAATTTTCACTTAACTTTCATATCATTAATATTCTAAAATATTATCAATAAAAGCAATTGAGTTACATATTTACAAAAGTATTTTTGTTTAAAAGAATATTTATTTGTAAACAAACATTGACATTTACAAAATCAAACCAGTGTTGGGTTTATGGATGCTTTTTCACCCTGGGTGGAGGAAAAAAGGTTCAATACTAGCACGCTCAATTAACATACTTTAGAAGACCATGTTATTAGGACAGTTATTTGCCCTTTCTGAAATACGGGACTCTAAGAAGAAGAATCTGAGAAAAATAATACTGAATTACTAAGCATTTTTAAACTAAAACACCTCTGGAATTTGGTTTATCTTGCCTAGTTAAAAATGCATCACTGTTGATTTTAAGCTATATCTGTTATTTGAAAGCTTCAATACAAAGATATTTTCAAAAACAGTTTAGAACCATTGGTTTACAAGTTGCCAAAGGGAACTGCTGTACAGGTTTTTCAATACTAATGATTAACTCATTTACTTCAAATAAACAAAAAATTATTCCAAAAAGTACATACTTCTGAAATCACTAGTAATCACTAGGTAGGAAATGTTTCACTGATTTTCTACCAAAAAAGTTGAGTTATGAAATTACGAAAATAGCTGCAAAACTTCTAAAGAAAGATAGGGAAGAAAAACATAAGACACCAGACTAAATGTTTTAATTGTTTCAAGGATGGAAATAAATACCAGAGGTATTGGTTTCAGCTCAAGGAACGTATCAATTGTTTATTATTTATTTGGAATATTTATCTTCTCTTGACACATCGAAATAGTAAAATTACGAAACCGAAGGTGAAAAAAGAGGTAACTAACCTGATCCGGAGAGGGTCTGTGGTTGGAGTGTTGTGGCCTCCCCGGAGATCGATGATGGTGGTGGTGGTGATGGTAGTGGTAGTGGTGGTGGTCATCATCATAGTTATCTGCCATCAGTTTCATTCTGTTTTGTGTCTGTTTAAGATAGAAAGTGAGACAATTCTATTACATGCTGGAATATATTACTCTTAGTTCTTTCTTAGGTCTCTCTTTTTTTTTTTTCCTTTTTCGTTTTTTTTTTGATCTGTAAAGATCTAACAATAGAAGTCCAGACTGCTGGCTCACAAAGAAAAGGAAACAGAAATAGAAAAAGATAACGAAGTATGTGAACACATATTCTGTCTCAGTTTTCACATGAGTAGAATTGTGCAAAGAAGTCAGAAAAGGACTCTTATAGAGGAGCATCAAGGATGCTCTATTTGAAAGGTGTCAACAAAGACATTCAGCTTTTCTAAATTTTCTATTTTTTCCAGTCTGTTATTATGTCTTGCCAATTAACTTGTAAAATCTCACTGAAAGGAATATTAAGTGTACTTTAAATACTAAGAGTTAGCTACCGAGGCATGTCAACAGCAATCATAAATAATTATGCTAAAAGCTCTATTTTGGCTTAATTATTTTAATTGTACACCAGTATCACCCTGCTAAACGGTAAGTTAAAAGAATCTGAAAACGAACTGATACAGACATAGGCAGTTAGAGAAATAAGTGATTATGGAACCTGACACATGTTACTGAATGAAAGTCTTAGATATAGATCTTGAAAAAAAGATCAGCACTTCAGCTGCTGCCAGGTACAGATAATAAAATGTATGTCACCATGAGATAACAAGATACATCGCTGCTCTTTATCACTATTACAATTATTCCATACCATGAAATACATAGACTGGAATAATTCAAACCTTGCTCATAATACCAAAAATATCTTACTACCGATTGCTCAATACCAGTGGATACAGTACTTATTTTTTCTGTTAGTAGGACTGAAGGCTGTCTCAGGCAAACTTGTTAACTGTAATGAAGTTTTACTTATCTTTGCACTAACAAAACCCAGAAGAAAATGCTGTCAATTGTCAAAGACCTCTTCCAAGATTAGAAGAACCTATTAGACACATATACAATTAATATCATGCAGATGACTGAAGGAAAGATAGCAGTCTTAACACACAATGTCATCTTCAAAAATCTCACATGAACCCTGTAGGAGAAAGGTTGTTCTTGAAGCAGCATTATCTACTTTGTGCTAATTCTTTATGTAGACATCATTTGAGCTGGTCAAGCACAAACAAGTCTACTTTGCACATAGACATTTCTGGTGAACAGCAAAAAGAAGAGTATATATAAAGACGAGAATAGTTCTATCCATGCTCCAAAGTAGCAGGATTCATGCTAACTCCAGTGAGGACACTGGCTAAACACCTTACCCTGGCGCTTTGCCCAAACTAATGAGTTCTAAAGGACCAACTTAAACAGATGAATTTAAACACAACTCATTTGTTCAGGTATGTTCCTATATTAACAGGTCTAATTGGCTTCCAATTTGAAATGCCCATGAGATAGCTAGTGTCCCACAGCTACTATGTGGTAAAGTTACTTCCAGGACTATCGTAAATTGATTTTTCTATGAGAACAATCCTATATCAAAATCTCTGTTAGGAAAATTTCACTGGTAGGTATATTTTAATAGAAAATATAAAAAAATCAACTTAATGTTTTTTTTTTTGCTAAAGTAGAAAAAAGATTTGGAAGAAAGGCTAACTAAATATTCACCTAACACAATATTTGAAGTATAACAAAATCTAATGAGAGGAAAACTATGAACCACAGGGACCACAGGAAATCCTGATGTGTCTTTTTAGCAAGTAATTTTTTTTTTTTAATGTCACAATGCTTCCCAAGCACAAACAACCAAATCAAAACCTTAGGGCATCCACAATAACAAGACAGAGGAACAACCACAGATCAGATGTGCACATGCTTTAGCCACTGTCAGGCTCTTTCTGAGAATCTCTATAGCACTAAAAGCATCTTCTCAGTGTGTTACAGAATAAATGTCCTCCACAGGTCAAGTGGTGGATTCCTTTGAACAGGAATTGCACTGGTACTGTATGGTATCATTTCACATTTTTAACACTATTTTCTGCACAGCTGGAACCATCTCATTTTCTCCCTCCCAGATAAGAAGATAGAAGCATTCATACAGCTGTATGAATTTCAGATATGAATTTATATCCATTTTGCCAAAAGACCAACTCAATCTGAATCATCACACTTGGTATGTCGTTAGAGTCAAAGAGGAAGGTCTTCTGAACAAAAGAGTGGAAAAGATGGAGAATTAATAGACAAATAATAACCCACTTACTGTAAACACTGTAATATCCTTCCTCTTTGGGGAAACTCCTAACATGTTATTAGTTTATTTTCTTATCAATGAACAGCCTTAAATTTCCTACCTTTCAACTGTATTCCATAAAAGAATGCAAAAGTTAAACAAGATGATATATGCAATCCTAAAAGTGTCTCCTGTAATGAGGTGTTTGGGATTAGACGTGTCATGGGATAAGAACTGTAAATGAATGATGTCATCTTTCTAATTTGGTGATGAAATATAAATAAACCACTTCTAATGTTTCTTTCTTTTGGATGCCAGATTGCAGTAAAATGTGCACAAAGAAATGTTAATGCTGTAGTAGGCTTCCTTTTGAGGAGGATGAACTGGAGGATTTCTGGAGAAGGAACAAAAGGCAGGCCATCCAGAGGAACAATACAATCGTTTTCAGGTCCTTCTGAATAAAAATCTGTAACATTACTTCTGTTTGCTTCCCTTGCTAACTCTTTCAATCTTTAGTAGACTTTGAAATGCCAGTTATATTTTTATTTGAGGAAGTAATTAATGAACCACATTGGAATTTATTCAGGACCCCAGGGCTTCACATCCCTACACCTACATAAAAACACATAAACACACAGAAAGGTGTACACATTTTAGGATGTTGGTTTATCAGACAGACAGTAAATCCTCATAGTCTGGGTCCATCAACACATTAGGACACTGCTTCAGTACTGACTGGGAGGGAAAAATACCATCTACTGATTCGGCAATGCAGTCCTGCAACATCTTCAGTATACTTGAAAATTACTTTTGAAAGCATAACAATGCTTTATGTTACGATTATTCATGTTGGTTCAACATGATTATTCAAGATGACTTTTCTGGATGATCGGGAAACTCAATCTTGGAATGTACAATTCATGAAAATTAGAGTGATGATTGTACATGCATTTAAATTGTGTTATATCTAATTTATATCATATGTTACACTGCACAAGTTAGTCCATATCTGAAATAATTATATTATAGAGTTCAAAATTTCATTCAAATTTTCCTCTCAAAACTATTATTATTGATACGGTTTTCCTGAAAACAGGGTTTCTCAGAATGTACATAGCCACAGCTCTGACCACAAAATTATCATACCAACAGTTCTTTTTGAAAATGCCTGGTGAACACCAGACCCATACCTGCGAAGGAACAGGTTTTAATTTGGATTTATATTAGGAAAGAAAAAATGTTAACTTGTAAAATACAACAATTAATTAACTGCATCTCCTACAGACCATATATAGCCTTACCAGTTTTAGCCTAAACAGTTTCCTCAGATTTTTTTTTGCTTTAAATTTATTGACTACATTCAATAAATACTGCATCCATTTTGAAATAAAGGAATGATAGAGGAATTAGAAGCAGCATAAATCTAGGTGCACAGGTATATTAACCCTTAGGGCTTGAAACAGTTGTCTTTGATCATTCAATGTCATTATTTGCTAAGTTGTCAAGGTCATGAATGGTATGTGTAACTGAATTTTTAACCCACTTACCAAAGAATTCATGATCTAGCACTGTAAGAAAACTGACAGATATTTCTTGTCCTCCTAAAATTCTGTTGAGTTTAAGTAAGGATCTACGGATGTGAAATGAAAGTCTTTGATTGACTGGTAACAGACTACATAGCTTAACAGCAATCTGTAACTGTAAAACTATAATATTAAAACTGTCTTTTAAAAAATATTTTAGCAAGGTGGCAATAGGGAACTATGCTTTGATCTGTCATCTGGATCAAGTTAACAACAAAACTCTCATGAATGAGAATCAAATGAGGAAAAATAGTAAGATTTGTTGCTCTGGGATATAGGTGTAATACCATTCCATAGCTATTACTTTCCTTTGGATTTTCTTCTCAATCTCTCTTCACTAAATGGAATTTGAAACATTTCTAGAATATTCACTTTCAACAGGGTAGGACTTTTCCCCATATAATATTGGAGGGAGGCAGATATAAGGCCTACAAGCTATCATGGAGCTATCCTGTAGTCTAATCATTAAAGCATGAATTTTAAAATCTAGAGACCCCCATTCTAGCTCTGATTCTGCAATGACCTCTTGTTGTCTTCAATGATACAGAACCTCTATTTCTTGCAACCTCACTATCTCAAAAATAAGCATTCTAATAGTTCCACAAAGCATTTTGAGATCTTCATGTGGCAGACGTTTAGTTCTAGTCATCCTGATTTTTACTAATACATTATTTAATCTGAGCTTTTTTTTCCAAGACAGTAATTTTAGAAAACACAAATTCTCTTTTTTTAACTTTGAAACCCAGAAAGTAAGGATCTAAAAAATTGTGTGCTTAAAACTATATGGTTCTCCAAGTTTATCCAGAAGTTGCATAAACTTAGTGGAATAAACCTGGATTTAATGGAAGCATGCGCAACTGCCATTGGTTTTCCAGGATTAATCCAGTGCTTCAGACCTGAACTCCATTAGCTGAGAGTTAACAAAATGTTTACTAATTAAGCCAGCTCTGTACTGACTCTCGCCAAATACAATCAGTTTTCATGTTAGAGCAATATTTTTACACGTTCTTTTAAAACTGTTGTCATCTGTTGGAACAGGCTGTCCAGAGAGGTGGTGGAGTCACCATCTCTGGAAGTGTTCAAAAAACGTGTGGATGTGGCGCTTCAGGACATGGTTTAGGGGACACGGTGGCGCTGGATTAATGCTTGGACTTGATGATCTTGAAGGTCCTGTCCAACCTTAGTGATTCTGTGATTCTGTGCTCTGAAGGCAAGTG